TTAAAATGTCTGAGATACTTGACAGACTTATTCTGGTATTCTCTTTCTCTTGAAGATACCAGAAAAGAAGAGGGTAGTAAAAAAAGACCATTCTGTTTCCTCTTTCAAGAACCAGAAACATCCTGAATTCACTCAAGGTATCAAAGAAAAAAGCATATGGAAACCGGAAACCCCTCAGGTTAGATTGATTCCTTTAAGGACTGAGTTCTTGTTTGCGTCCCAGTGCAAATTAACTCCATCATGTAGACCCAAGGTTATTCAGAGTTCTTTTAATTAAGAAGGAAACAGCACCTAGGACTACCTCTTTTTCTTTACTTTACTTTTTATTACCCCCACTCATCTCTCTTTCTCAGTTCATATTCCAGTTCCATGAATCTCTACTTTTCATTATTTTGTGGTGAGTACTTTGAAATTCGATCCCAAGAAAGAGTTAAGGTAGGGAGAAGAATCTTCTTCCCACTAGAACTCCCATTTTTCCTTTTGGGTTACCTTGGAGGAGTATTACATTTGAATTTAAATATGAATTGCATCGAATTTTTGGTTCCCCCTCCATGTTACCTCTTCTTAAATCATTGCTGTTAGGTCTCTGTCCTCAGCAGTCTTCTCTGTGGAGTCACTCCTGAGAAGAGGCCAGAACTGGAGAGTGAGTTCTCATTCTGGCTCGCAGTTGTTCCTGGATGTCTCACAGAGGCCTCAGTGAACTCTAAGCTGTGAAATAGGCAGTAAAACTAGTATATCTCCAGTGACTTGTCCCAAGTCTCAGCTGCTTTTGCTTCTAGAACTAGTGCATTAGTCTGTGGGTGAATAACATTTGCTGTGTGGGATAACCAGCATGGCAGTTTTGCCAACTGGTCAGGTTTTGGTGCTCTGGCAACACTGCGATTCTCATGAATCTTATTTATGATTTCTATCTCCTACTCCATGTACAGTTTGCCAGCCTTCCACTTATACAATGGACGAGGAGGCATAAGGGACATGTTTTAAGGCCCTAGGAGAGATTCGAATGCCTTTCTCATTAGAAAATTACAGAAAGCAACAGCTTAGCTTCATCACAGATTTATTTATAAGCCTAAGTATAATCCAAGAGACACTTTTCTTTCTATTACCTCAATGGATTTTTAACTGAATGTAATTTCACACAGGACTCACCAGGTTTCGCTCAATTTAAAACCAAAGAGCCATCCCCCCGGATCTGGAAAATACAAGTAATTATATAACATGTCTGGAATCTTCATTGCCTGCCTTGTGGCATCTATACACTTTTTTGGATTTGTACTTTTGTCTGCTGCTGCCAGGCATTTTCTCATCTTTTCCCCACCCTGTAGTTGTTGCTTCTTGTGTGCTATGTCTGTAACATCTTTGATCCCAGTGGTGGACATACGCGTATAAGTCTGTTTTAATTCTAAGACTGGATGAGAAGACTTCCCTGCATTTCTCTTTCTCCTCTAATATTAGACATTCTGTACAGTGAGTCTCGTCATGTGTCACAGTAATAATAATAGACTGCTGTGTTTAAGAAAATATATAGAATAAGTTTTATTTTTCTTCTTTAGGCAAATTTAGCGATTAACCCAGCAGCCTTGCTGCCTGCAGTGACTCCTCAGATCTCTGGAATGAATCCTGTTTTGCCAGAATTGGCTTTTCCTTCATCTGAACCCGAGAGAATCCACAATCTGGAAAGTATGCCCACTCTTCCTGGGAGTATGGAGGCCGGCGTGAGTTTTGATCTTCCAGCTCAGGCCGACACCTTACACAGTGCAAACAAGGTGATGAAGCCACCTTTGCTTGCTTGCTTGCTTGCCTTTTTTTTTTTAAACCAGAACAATTTGTATATTTCTTCTTAGTCTATCAGTTACACACAATAGATTGACTTCCCATTTGAAGGAGGCACCTCATCCTTCCTTCAGCCTCCTTGCCCTCCTTCCATCTCCTTAATTCTGGGTCCACTTTTTCACTCCCTATATTTGTTACATTTACATTCTTCTCAGTAGCCACAGTGAAATTCCACTGCCACCTGGAGGTCTTCTAAACACAGAGCAGATTGTGTCCCTCCCTCCTCTGCTGGCTCCTCACTGTTCAAAGGACATTTGAGTTCCTTAGTTTGGTATTAAAGCCTTTTATAATCTGTGCTAACTAAAGCTTCCAGCTTCCCCACCAGTCACCCCACACTGTATACCTAAACTCTGGTCACACTGGACACCATTCTTTGATCTGGGCCAGCTGCAGCCATCAGCTGGTGCTGCTTCCTCTTTCCTCATTGACAGCTCTGCTCAGACCTCACTGTTTCTGTGACATTTCCCCTACTGCCCTCTTATCCTGGGTTCCCTGCTCAGATCCCTGGCTAGTCTTGTCCCACCACACTATTCCACAGTTTATGCCAGATGGACTGTGAACTCTGTGAGGTTTTGCTTTTATTTTTGTTGGTTCTCTTTTTCCTATCCAGTCTTCCTTCTCCAGAAAGCCTTAGCTATCTACTGTAAGAGACAGTAGATAGGATAACCCTGACTGATACATTCATTTCAAGTGTTTTCAAACCTGTTTTCCTTGTGAAATATAAAACATCCTTCTTTTTATTATATATATTTATTTATCTATTTTTGGTTGAGTTTAAATTGGCTACTTTTTTAAATTATATGTGAAGTTTCTTTGAAATAGGTAATTACAGTCAAGTACTTTTCCCAAAGTAGCTTGTTCCTTCTCAAAACTATTTGATTGTATATTTTGGAAAATATCATGAATACTGCATTTTTGCAATAAGTAACTCATATTTTGAGGTTATATTAAAAGTTCTGATTTCTAAGCCACAATTTTATGTAAAATATTTGCCATTCGAATTTACTGTTCATTGAAGAAAAGACTTGAAGAAAAGAACACCTTAGATTACCTCTCTCTCTTTATTGTCTGATATCTCCCTGCTCCTGGAGCCTGATTTTAGGCTAGCCCCTAGTTCCAGAGTTCCCTCTGATTCTTGCTTTGAAATATATCCATATTTAAATTAGAGCAGAGTAGGGGCCAGGGAGGGTTTTGGGACACTGAGCACCAGCATGCCTATTTTGCAGGATTCTAGTGGCAGATGAAGCCTTTTGTATGAAATTGAGCAGAAAATGCCCTCAAAAGACTGAAAAATGGAGAACAGTAAAGGCTTAGGAATGACTTTGTTTCGGAGTACTAGGAGCTATTAAACTTTTTTTTAAAAATCTTTAAAAAATAACCTCCTTTGTGTCTTAGATGATCTCTTGATTGAGCTAGATCAGATAACCTTACAAAACTTTTGAGTTGCTGATTATTACGCTAGCTTTGGACACTTTTTTTTTAATCGGGTCAACCCATGGTCTTTTGCCGTTGCAGAGCCGGGTCAAAGTGAGAGGGAAGCGCAGACCACAGACCCGTGCAGCTCGGCGATTGGCTGCACAGGAGTCCAGTGAGAGTGCAGACATGAGTGTGCCCAGAAGATCTATTGCACAATTGGCACATGGTGCCATTTCACCAGATGGCCATCAGCCACAGCCCAGGGCAGCTGGTGGAAAAGATAACTCTGAGGAGATGGTGGCAGCTGCCACTTCAACTTGGACAGGTGGTCTGGTGCTGCGAGTAGACAGAAGCTCCTCTGGGAAATCTCTGGGTCAGTCTCTTGAGGATGACCTTTTTGATTCTGAAGATACCTTTTCCAAAGGTACTGGATCTCAGTCTATGGAGATCAGAAAAGCCATGGGAAAGGCAGCAGAGGGACCAGCCAACCTGCTAGGGGGAGGTAAGGAAAAGAGCTCCATGTTTCCTGTTCTAGGTGAGACAGGTAGTGATGATGATCTCTTCCAGTCTGTTAAACCAAAACCAGCAAAGAAAAATCCCTTCCCTCTCCTGGAAGATGAGGACGATCTCTTTCCAGATCAGAAAGGCAAGAATGAGTCAAAACCCAACAGTCAGCAAGATGTCATCTCAAACGCACAAGATATTTTTGAGGTAATAGGATATAACAATATGTTTTTGTTCCTGGTTCAATGTTAAGGAAAATGCCAGTTGGCTTATTTGAGCCATAGATTTCATTAAGCTTATCTTGTTGCTGCCTGATATCTACTTGCTTAGTAATTATAATTAGGTTCCATTACTAATAACTCTGAAACTTAACCAGAAGTAGTTTTGTGTTTTGTTTCATAGTAGATGGTTGTTCCTGGCTGGACATAACCATTGACACAGGTTTTGATTTTGGGGATTTTTATGAGAATGTTGCTTTAGTCAGCTGCTCTGGCAGGTCACTCTGTGATATATATAAAGCAGTATTGGTACAGCTTGCGTGTTTAACCTCTAGTTCTTGGGGAAACAGGCCCTAGCTGATGACTGAGCACAGGTGTTAAGGCCTTCAGTAGCACCCTCTGGGCAGGTGCGTTTTGAACATCTGGGTATTGGAGACAGAAGATGAACTAAAACCATTGCTCTGCTCTCCACCACTCTCAGGGAGGAGAACTGAATACAGACAGGGCAACAGATAAATATGTTTTCAGATAATGTTAATTACTATAAAGAGAACAACCCAGTGCAGTGAGGCAGAGTGATGAGCAGG